CATCCTTTCGCACGTCGAAATGAAAGGGAAGGGAGCGAGAGGCCCTCCCTAAAGTGTCCGGGTTTGGCAACAGAGATATCTGGCAGCCCTAACTTTAGGAGTGTACTCGTACGCCCAACTCAAAAGTTTTAGAAAACTTTTACTGGTTTTGCGTTCTCGTACCAAAAAAACTTGCAAAGTAGGGGAAATGGAGAGAGCAAAATGTGAAAGAGAGCTGCAAATTTCTGCTGCAAAAATTTTTCCCAGCTTAAACTTGCAAGTAAGAAAATCTGCTGATCAGAAACACATGTTTGTAAATAAACAAAAGAAAATATGGCCTTTTTGAGTTATTTATTGCAATTTTTATTATTAATGCTAGTATACAACTAAAAAGTGCGTAAATTTAATAAGTACAACGTTCATTGAGTTTATTTTTCGTTAATTTGCTATTAATCTCCAGTTTGTTTACTTTAGTGTGTGCTGACTATGGTTGCCGTATGCCATTTTTCGTTTGTACTATAATTTTCCTTTAAATATACCAAAATAGATTTAAAAGAAGCATGCTGAAATGTTTTTATGCTGAAGTTTTCGGTTTTGATAGGTTGGTTGATGAAATGAAAATTTTATAATTTTAAACCTACTCTATTACATTTTCTTGGATCAATGATGGGTGTTTGGAGGAGATACTATTGTTTTTAATGCGTCACCATGTGATATCACAAATAATTATGACAAAAATAACTTATTCATTCCGATATAATTAATTCGTATTTTAAAAAGGCTTTTCTTATCCAAAACTATTCCATTGTATAAAATGCCAAATCGGAGGAAAATGCACCAAGCAGAAAATAAATTGCCAAATTAATCACCAGTGGCAACTGTATAAGTGATCAGCTGTTTCGAAGGTTGGAAGTTTTTGCAAATTTTGCGTTCTCGTACTTTTGTTGATATTTCCTCTCTTTGAGAACGAATGCTGCTAAATTCTCAGAACTTTTTCTGCTGGAAAATTTTGTCCTCTCAATACGAGTACACACCTTTTGTTACGCTGTCGCATGTATTTGCATGTGATGCTTACGCTCTTTAAGCAGGCGCTCACTCTCTGTCCATGCTTATATATGAAATTTGACGTCGATATAACTGTTGCCAACTTTGTGCCTTTCGCAATAAATTAAGTG